AAATTAATAAATTTGTAGGTCGCGCAGTATTTATTGACCACAATTTATTCTTTATTGGTCACACACCAACCAATTTATTGATCACAATCAACAAATCATTTGTGACCACTACCAACACAACACCACCGTCGTCTCCGCCGCCAAAAACAACACTGCCACACCACCGTCATCTCCGCCACCAACACCACAGAAAACACACCATCGTCGCCAATACCAATACCACAGAAACGCACCGCCGCCGCCAACACTGATACCACCATCACCACCACTTCCCAGAAATAAAATCGCTGTTTCAAAACATCGCAGCCAACGTTTTCACCACTACCACTACACCAAACTGTCAGCACCACCACCACCGTCCCACTCAGCAGCACCGCACAAACTCCACTGCACTACTAAAAAAACCACAAATCTAGATCGCTATAGCCGCGACATCGTCGTGGTGGTCCGACGATTTGAGGGAAAAGAGAGGCGATGGTAGTGCCGACGAGGTGGTGGTTTCTGTTTCTTCACCATAAAATTCAACAAGCAGCCCCACACCCAACCTAATGAAAACCCACTCATCATAACCCAAAACGTAAGCAATGATGAAAAAAACGATGAATTCATCGGAGAGAGCGGCCCCGCTTGGTGGTGGCTTGGCAGTCAAAGTGGGAAACAGGGGAAGACGGAGAGACGAGAGAGAAGAGGGAGTTTGGAATGGAATTGATTAGGGTTTGAAATATAAATTGTATAATTAATATTTAAAATGAAATACTTAATTTTTGTACAAATAAACTCCAACCCTGGTTTTTGAGTCGAAAATTTTAAATACATGTGCGGATGTAATTTCCTCTAATTAAATTTTGCTCCCATCACAAAATTAAATTCATTCGTATTTAATGGGCCTATTGCTTTCTTTTTTTGGAAAAAGCCCAACTAATGAAAATGCCTAAAATAAAACTAAAAAATAAAAAATTGGCCCAACTAAACTCATCTCCCCCTTTCGCCTTTGTCTTCTCGCATGACCAAGTTCTTTTATTTCAAATTTTATTTTTTCTTTAGTTAAATGAATTTCACATAATTATGTTCAACTAAAAGCATATCATCAATTGAACATAAAAAGAAATTAGACATTTTATTTTCTTTAAAATAGAAACAGTGATCATATTTACTTTTCTTGAAATTTAGGCTTGAATATAAGAGTCAGATATCTTATACCATTTTCTAAGTGCTTGTTTCAGCTCATATAATGATTCCTTTAATAGGCATACTAAGTCATTTTTACCTCTAAGGCCCTATTTGATATCCTAAAAATGGGTGGAAAAAGAAAATGTTTTCCGACTATAGCCAATTAAGGGTGTTTGATAGCACAAATTTTTCTGACTTTTGTTTTTCCCACATTTTTCTAGGTACAACTTTTTGATGCACATTTGCTTGATTTTGTTTTCCCACCTATTAGGTGGGAAAGCAATTTCCACCTTTTTTTTTT